TAGATTATATAGACGGAAAATGTTTTATAATAATAATGTCTTCCAGATCGAATTTTAACGGAGACTAGCCATCGGCGTAGGACACGATTATAGTGCCCAAGTATATGCACTAGTACACGCGCACTCTCTATTACCTCACTCTCATAGTCTGATGGGACGGTAAGCCAACACGACCGGAGAGAGATCAGGCGCAGGAACAACGGCTTTACGTGTTTTCAGAGGCACGGGGGTGAGACACTTTTAACTTGGCAGCTACTGAGAATATTTTGACGGAAAAACTCATTAATTGATTTAATTTTGGCCCGACACTGGATTCGAACCCGGGACCTCATTATCTGCAGTCGAGTTTGCTACTTACCAATAGACCAACGAGTCTAATAAATGGCTTATACTTAACATATGAACTTAATACAAACGCATCACGCCTCAGTACTAACATCCTTACAACAGTAGAATCGGACTCTAGGGACCTCAAATCGTAGAGATATTATGTTGAAACTTGGACACATGAGTAAATTCACGTAACAGAGATTAAGCTTCATACAACCGCTCGAATCGGTTGCACTACTACAAGCACGCGGGGCACATGTGCGTGACCACTGGCCGATTGTCGCATACGCGGCGGGTGAAAAAAAACCGGTTACGCTGGCACAGCCAGTGAACAATCTCAGGGTCAGTGCGAAGCACGTTGTTTGTTTTGTTAGTTGCAAGTTTGAATATCTTTATATATAAAAATTACGTGTCACATTGTTTGTCCGCGATGAACTCCTAAACTATTGAACTGATTTCAATGAAATTTTGCACAATGTGTGCAGTTTGGTTCAACTTGAGAGATAGGATACTTTTTATCCCAAAAAGTAACCTTCAATATTATTTAAAGGTCGTCGGAAAGGGCAGAACGTCTGCCTGGCCCGCTAGTTTTAATATAAAAACGTGATATTATTAATAATGATTGTTTATTGTACCGTGTATGAATAATACTAGAAAAAATAAAAATATATCATACTTTAACTATCCCAAGGAGTAGAATAGGTAAGTAAGTATTTGATTATTACTTTTGTATGATCCTTTTTTTAATAAGAAGAGGGTATTACACGGTGTGTTTTTACAAGCTTTTATTAAAATTTTGTAGGTATATGGGTGGGTTGGTATGTTTGTTAAGGTCACATATTGCAAGTAAGATTTGTACCACTTCCCGATGTGTGATTGAGTTGAAATTTTGTATATCGTAACTTCAGTGACAATGCAATATGATATAATATATTGTTTAATTTTTCTTCACCTATTGCGACAACCCTACGAAGCTTTGTCTACTACTACTACTACTACTACTACTACTCGTGTAATAACTTCCAAATGGGAAGTTTAGTCTTTCTCAATGTCAGTAAGCGAGACATGCGTCTCTGTCGCGTATTTGTATTGATGCACAAATTTTGCTGCAAATAAACGCCGGTTTGGTTTGCGTTCGACATGTAGCAATATACACTAAGTGTAGGATCTCCATTTTTTTCAAAAAAATATTTGGAAAAAAAACTTAAGATGTTACTAATGTGTTCTTTACATAGAAATGATGGCATACATTGTATTATGAATATATTTTGTCTTTATATGCACAGTCGTTTCGAGCACCTCAATTCAACCTCGATGACATGCAATGTGTTTTAGTGTGTATAAAATTTGAAAAATATTACATACGATCAATCGTTATATTTGTATTGGATACCCATTACAATCTATCAAAAGACCACAGCTCAACATAGGCTTCTCCCATATATTTCTTCATAGTTGCCACGTTTGGCAAGCGGTTTGGCAACCGCAGTTTTTTTACGTTTATTCAGCTGTTGTCAGGAAGATGCTGCTGCCTATCTCCTGGTTCAGTTTCCTCTGTTGCTTTTTACGACACCTACGGGATGAAATGGCATAGTGGATCTTACACCGCCACTACACAACACAGTATTGGATATAAATTAAAAAAAAAAAAGAATGTTTCCAGTCGTTGACGACAGTCTGTGGACTAAAAATTTAAAGTCCAACGAGGGTTGCTTAATTTTTCGTAAATATGATTTAACTTCCACTTGGGGTCTGTAAGTGCATCTTTATAAACGTGATTATTTTACCTATTTGACATCCTCTAAATTTTGAAGCACTAAGTTATGTAACTTAGATGACAATGCAATAATATAGTACCATGGAGTTGAGCCTTTAAAACTTTTTAAGAACAGATTTTATATTTAATTTCATAGATATAAATGATATATGTATCCAAAGAGTATCTAAATCACACATTATTATAAACATCTATACAATATGTGCTAGTGCATATTTGGTAAACTGAATTATTAAAAAGCATGCGTAGAGGAAACTAGAAGATGCTAGAAAGTTGTCATCGCCTCCCAATAATAAATACTCAGACTAGCAAAGTAGCTTCTATGAAAGACAATCGTACTTTCGATCGCCAATCAATCTGCCTAGTGAGGCTATCACGGCAAGTTCATTCTACAACTGGAGAGCAGTTTATGCGTGTACTGCTATTGTTGACGTTCATGAACCTTGAATGAAAAAAAAATAATAATTTACCAAACCAAAATCACTTATATTTACATGTCAGGAGGTTTACATTATTAACTTTGTATATTAATGACAAACGATATTAAGAAATAATAAACAGTTTTAAAAGTTGAAATTATTCTAAAACTTACGATTATTGAACAACATTATAACATTCCAATATTTTGTACTCTTTAAAATGTGATAAATTACAAAACATAAGACAATTGTGTGAATATCTCACAATAATTACTGTGTAAATTAATTATTAAAACATTACAAAAATCCATTAGCAATATAATTACAATTAAAATAATTAGCAATACATATCAATATATAAAGCCATTCCGTTGCGGTGAAGTTGATCAGTGGATTACAATTCCAGAATTCATGTCTCATTTAGATGTGTCACTAACCCACTTTCAGGCGACCTAACATATATTAGTTAGTTAAATAAATCGGATATAATTATTAGAGTGAGGCATTGCAAGAATATTTTTTATATAAAGCATATTATAATCAATTATTTAGATATAAAAATGTAAATAATAACCAGATACTTTTTTTTTGCCAAAATAATAGTTATTTCCCTTTTAATTGCCAAGCCCTACGATAATAGTTACAAATACACAACACAGATTTTGGAAGAAATTTGGTTATTGATATACTAGAAATATACATAAAGTTTTTTGCATAGTTATTAAAGGTTATTGAGTATTAATTTAAAATAAGCGCAAATGGCATATAGACCGAAATTATATTAGTGTTAATTTTTACAACTGTGTATAATACAAGTAATGTGGAATAATTTGTAGTTAGTGTGGATGGTGCAGTTAACTATTTTAGTTTATTTTTGAATCTAGCAAAATTGTCTACATTAAGCTAATTACATGTCACTATCCATAGGAAGACAGCATCTGTTTAAAGCAGAATACTCAAAACAATGTTATAAAGTAAAAACCATTTGAGGTTGCATGTGCGGAGCGATTGAGATTTGGTCGTTTTTGATTCATTTTTACTCTCAAACAAAAAATATAATTAGAAACTTTGTTTACCCAATTTACATGCATATATCTCCATACTTTAGAGGATTAGGTCCTCAAGTCTATTCGGTGGATTGCTGCCATACACAGTTTATGGCACATTAAAAAAAGTTAGATTCCATACAGCACTGGTACAATACCATTCACACATAGCGTCACATCAGTCTATTACGTTAACTCTAAATTGTATATAAACATTTCAAAGAAAACGCAAACTAAATGATACTCTGTATCACAAATATCAAAACAAATAAATTCAAAATTCACATCTAAAATGCAATAAATGGCAATGTATAAGTACAGGTTTAAACAACAGTTTTATTCGTTCTTTAGAACACAATGTAATATGCCAAATATTAATCAATTATCTGATACCTACTTGGTCTAAATTACCTTAATTTAACTACCATATGTCACATTTTTATGTTCTAATATCCCTGTATGAACTAGGAGGAACAGTTGAGAATTAATTTGAAACCAATTTTTGACTTCCTTTAAAAATGTGATACATAAAAGAAGACCAAATGGTTACTCATCTGGAAAAATAAATAGCATGTCTTCAATTCGTTTTTTCAGGTATTTTTTACCGACTTCAAAAAGCAGGAGGAGGTTCTCAATTCGAGTGTATATTTTTTTTCTATGTATGTTAGGAGATATCTTTGCAGATTGTGAACAGATTTTAATGAATAGGCTTTACCTCAAAGGTGGTCCCATAAATTTTGGGTGAAAATGTTACATATTGGAATATTGTTTAAGGGATTTCTTATGTCTTCGCGGATTAAGAATCGATATTAATGATTTTTTTTTTATTAAACAGGTTATACTTCAAGGATGGTTCCATATAAATTTGGAGAAAAAATTCCACCCTTAAGGGTTGAAAATAAATAAATTATGTTTTAGCAATTTAAAGTCGGTTTTTATTTTTTGTTGTATGTTTTTGTTAATTTCACCTATCCACCAATCGTTCGTCATTTTATATAGCACAGCCTAAGATTGTCAAACACGGATTCAAACTCATTGTACCTTTTAGTTCTTGCGGGAAAAATACTTATCGAGTAATAGTATAGTAGCCACAGTGGCACCTTACATTAAATTGAGGTCTTATCGGAATAACAGCTGATTTATTGCAATAATAATATTATCTAATATTACAATTTTATTTACTAACTATATGTTGGCACTATTCCAAGATATGTATTACAAGCAAGCATTTGTTTGCATTGACTTAAACATATAAATACAATTATGATCAATTTTTTCCATATTCTTTTTTAATTGCTTGTTACATTTTTTTGTACAGAAGCCATTGATTTACAGTCATTACTTTACCAACATTCGAGTTTTAAATTAAATAATTTGGACCCACCTTAGTACGCTTTTAATAGAATGTAAAGTGCCACTAAGCATTCTTCAGCTACTGAGAGCTGAATTATCTATCAGAGGCACCTTAGCGACTTCGAAGAATATTGTGTGTGAATACTTATTTCGAACTGTGCTGATAGCCGATTTTGGCTTTTTGTGAAGTGCCGCATTCTGTTCTAGTACTATTGGTAGAATGTCTTGAAGTTTGTATCCTGTAATTGTAAAAATAAATGTAAATATTAAATTATTACATAGTAGAACTTCTTTCTTGGGCCCAAGAGTTCATCTGGCTTAATGCCCTAACAAACAACAATGCACCCTCAAGCTGTGTTAGCTTGTGATGTAAGAAAGTATAATTAAAGACAGTTTAATTCCGCGACATTTCATTTTAGTCCTCAGGGTTGACAACACAATCCTTCTGTTCGAAGTTATTTTGCAAGTGTCCATGGGCAGCAGTCAACTACTCCCAACAGGGCCAATGTGTCAGTAATCTAATATATAAAAATTCATGTTTGTTTGTTCGTATTTTATGCGCTGCCATACCGTTCATCAGATTGCGGCTAAATCTTGTCAACTTATTGCTTGCACTTGCGCGAAGGTTGTAGGAATAGTACAATTAACTTACACTAGGTGGCGCGCGTATTGTACCGACAAATTTATTAGAAAGTTAATCATTTAACTTTAATGTTGAATGAATGTCTTATCATTACTAATTAAACAATATAACTCTTCCAAATTTTAAACGATATTTCCATAATTATCTTTTCAGCAGTGCAAAATGTCGAGTACAAGCTAGTGATATTAGGATATAAAAATAAATTTCATAAGAAATGTCAAGTTAACAAAAGAAGAGAGTAAGATTGCAGAGTAACATTTCTATATATTATGATCATTACACCTCATCACAGGTCCATTGTAGAACATAGACTTTCACCATAAATTGTCACAAAGCATAGTTTCCAATCATCTGCACCATACAGCATGTTCTAACATCGTCATGATACCTACAAGTAAGATATTCTTTTCACATTTTTGAAGTAAAATTTCTTTAGTCTATGTCCGTTTTACGCAGTTTTACTGCTGATCATACCACTCCTCACAGATTGACGCAAAGCTGTCTTGTGTCCCCTGCACCGCTAGGCACTTTCTTACGGCATCATTCCATTAATCCTTTTTACAAAGCTAGTGACCATGTGTTATATTATATAATTCACATTTAAACCGCGTGTTAAAGCGGTTTTTTCATAGTTCAACACGATAACTATAAATCGTCGTCGATCCTGTATCGGGATGTATGGAGCGACGTATTATGCTTTTTCATTGACCGACACGACACTAACACAGGTATAAATATATTATCTGTATCAGCCAATGAAAAACCGCTCTATTGGTTACACGTACATACAGGGTTATTTTGCAATAACCAGCCAAATTTGCAGAGAAGGTTCAGAATAAGTAATATAGGCAAATGGTGAAGAAAAATTGATTAAATAAAATCTCATTCTGTCCTTTTTATCTTTTAAACTGGTGGTGGAGTGGGTGATAATGCATTATTTTAACTGATTTTACTGCGCACGCACACATTCGTAAGGGTCGATCTGTAGGCAATTCGGGAAAATTTCAAATAAAAGTAGAAGAAAAGCTACTTGTATTTTCAAAAACTGCACTAACGGTATATCATTATTTATATATTTAAATTTAAACTACTCTTTGAAACCTTATATATGTCACACATTTATAATATTTTTTATAGATTTTCTGCCTGAAGGGTGCACTACTTGCCGTGTAGTGGCGGTTAAGAATATCCACTACCCCATATCTTCCCGTGGGTGTCGTAAAAGGCGACAAAGGGAAACAGGCAGGAGATGGGCAGCAGCATCTTCCTGATAACAGCAAAATTACAATAAAAAAACTGCGGTTGCCAACCCGCTCGCCAAGCGTGGCAACAGAAACAGAAACTTTTTTATTCAATATAGATTATAAATAATACTTATTGAAAGTTACTCTTTTGTTTGATTACCACTGGTTCGGAAAAAACCTCTGTCCTGGGAAGAACCAGCAAGAAACCCAGTGGGACTTTTTTTTTATAACAGCTTACAATCATGATTTTACACAACAAATTAGAAATAGCTTGGTAGCGATCACCTCATTTCCAGGGGTTATTATCATCCATAAATTCCTTAATATTATAATAACCCTTTTTATACAAACATAGTTTAATAAAGTTTTTGAACTTTGAGCAGGTCAAACTTTGTTGTAAAACTACTTTTATTTTTGTGTACGTACATTACATTTTCATAAATGTATTGAGAGGCCAAAGTTAATATATTAATCTCCTTAAATTTTTGTCGCAGCGACTCTTTAGGCTTTAAATCATAAATTGCTCTTATGGCCCTCTTCTGTAAAACAAATATAATTTCAGTGTCAGCTGCGTGTCCCCATAGCAAAATACCATACGACATTATGCTATGGAAATAGCTAAAGTAAACTAGTCTAGCTGTTTCAACACTGGTTAGACTTCTAATCTTTTTTACAGCATATGCTGCAGAACTAAGTCTGCTTGCTAGTTTTGATATATGGGGGCTCCATTGAAGCTTCGCGTCTAGTGTGATTCCAAGAAAAATGGTGGTATCTACAAGACTCAGTTTCTCCCCATTTAAAATTACATTAGTATTTAATTGTTTGACATTTGAAGTCATGAATTTCATACATTTCACAAATTATTAACATTGAACCAATTTACTAATTTAGATATAGCATTATTTACTTCGTCATATTTTATTAATTGTCGACTTGATTTGAAAATTAAAGAAGTGTCATCTGCAAATAATACTATATCCCCTACTATGTAAGGTAAGTCATTAATGTATACAAGAAACAGAAAGGGGCCGAGAATTGAGCCTTGAGGCACGCCCATTTGTACCATTGATCCGGAAGAGCTCATATTGTTAATGACAACTTTTTGCGTTCTCTTACTTAAATATGAAATTATTAATTTAAGAGCATCACTTCTTACACCGTAGTGTTGAAGTTTCCTGATTAATGTTTCATGGTGAACACAATCGAAGGCTTTGGATAGGTCACAAAATATACCCAAAGCATCCTGTGAATTCTCCCATGCATTAAATATATATTTAATCAGCTCAACACCGGCATCAGTTGTCGAGCGACCCCTTGTGAAACCAAATTGATTTTTATGAAGTAAATTATTTATATAAGGTATTACTTTACTATGCTTCATTAAATCAGGAAACACACCAGATTTGATACTAGTATTAAAAATAATAGCTAAATGAGGCGCGATTGTATCTATTATAGACGGTATAAGTATAACGGAAATCCCCCACAGATCCGCAGTTTTCTTAACATCAATAGTTTTAAAATATTTTACAATATCTTTTGATGACACTTTATGAAATGTAAAATTCTTTGTACATGCATTTACATTTTGTTTAAGTAATGATTCGGCGACGGCAGGAGAAGAATTCAGTGAAGAATTCAGTGGTCAAGATCGGAATATCAGTAAAATATTTCTCAAAAACCATTGCTACGTCCTGATCTGATACAGTTAATTTGTTGTTAACACTTAACTGTTAATTTGAATTGCGAGAGTTGATCTTACCAGTTTCGCTATTAATTATACTCCATGTCATTTTAATTTTATTGGAAGCAGTCTTAATTTTGTTGCTCACATGCAAAGACTTGGCGATGGAGCACAATCTTTTAAATATTTTTGAATATTTTTTTACATATTCCCTAAATTCGACGCTATGATTATATGACCTTTCATGGTAAATATCATATAACCTATGCCTGCTCTTATGGACTCCTACTGTCGCCCATTCTTTGAATGACTTCCGACTGTTAAAGGAGAATGTTTTAGAAGTAAAAGTATTATTAAATTCATTGCAAATAAGCTTAAATAATGGTTCCATACAAAAAATTAGGATCATTTTGGTATGAAAGTGATGGAAGTTTTTTCACTATGTTACTTCTAAATTTCTCCAAGCGACGTGCATTTACTGGAACAGACACAACTTTCTCATCTACTTGCTTTTTCTGAACATAAGGTAACGAAAGTACTTGTCCACAGTGATCAGAACTTAATTTTTGAATTATACATTTATGCAACGGCTTCACATTTGTAAAAATGTTATCTATACATGTTGCACTACATTGAGAAATACGCGTTGGCTCTATAAATAAATTAAAAAGACCATATGATTTAAACAATGATCTAAATTTAATATTGATGGAGGAAGCTTCTAGGAGATTGATATTAAAGTCTCCACATATTACAACAGATTTATTCTGTTTATTAAGCTTAGCAAAAACTTCCTCCATAATGTTTTCAAAAGTATCATATGTACAACATGGGGGTCTGTAGACGCTCACAACAATGAGGTGCTCCAACTCAACACATGCCATTTCTACAGTTCGCTCAACAGAGAGGCTCACAATGTCTTTACGTTTTTTACATGATAATAATTTACTAGCTAATATTAAGGAGCCACCTCTTCTTAAAACCGAATATCTATTGAAAGAACTGACCACCTGGTGATTACTGAAGTTAAACATTAAATTATAAGCTTTTAACCAATGTTCAGTAACATAAAATATGAATATTGTTGCTATTTAAAAACAACTCAATTTCTAGCTCTTTGCCTTATATATTTTGATGCACCAGGTGTAAACAATTTTCATTATCTTTCTGTGGAGTCATACAATTAAAGATTTGTAAGCCACATTCTAAATTCTAAATTTAAGTTATTATAACTGCTAGAGATTACCTCTATTGTCTCATTTTCTAATTTAAATTACTTGGAACTGATTCCAAATTGCATATTAAGCCATTACACAGCTCAAAAGAAGCAGATGTCTGTGTAGCCAAGTCCTTGGCTGAGTTAATATATAAATAATAAGATGTCTGTCTGTCTTAAATTATATTTTGATAGGTAATACCTATCTCTAGTCAAAAATTTCTTAAATAAATTATTTATATCTGTTAAATTAATTCTATCATTATAATTGTAACAATTAAATGTCAAGTTTAAATTATTATTACATGAAAAGTTATTCATTAATAAATTTAAATCATGTCTTATTTTATTTTCCTGCGGCCAACCCTGTATGTAAGGCAATGTAAACAAGATAATTTTATGTACATTTAAAGTATTTAGATTATCAATATATTTTAATAATTGATTTTTGTTTACATTGCCTCTTCTCCCAACAAGAATTATTAATGTGCTATTAGGACAAAATTTACTAGCTAAAACTTTATTCATTATATGACTAAAGGATGCTCCAAGCATGCAATAATTACTGATCATATGTCCTTTTAAACAGTTATTTAACATCATGCCCAGATTTTTGCCTATGTCATCACAATACATAATAACTTTATTTTTTTAATATTTACATTGCTTTTTAAAGTACTTGAAGTCCTTCAGAAGCGCTTTAATTCGTGGAGTTTAGGCGTGGAGCAGAAGTGCGGTGGACTTGTTCTTCAAGAAAGGCGACAACGCTCTCTTGAAGAACTACAGACCGATTTCCGTTCTGCGCCGCGTCTACGTGCTGTTTTCGAGAGTCATTACGAATAGTCTCGCACGCAGACTTGACGGCTTCCAGCCTCCCGAACAAGCCGGTTTGCGAAAAGGCTTTAATACCATAGACTACATACACACCCTTCGGCAAATTGTACAGAAGACAGAGGAGTATAATCTGCCACTTTGCCTTGCGTATGTGGACTATGAGAAAGCCTTTGATTCCGTAGAAATTTGGGCGGTGCTGCAGTCCCTTCAGCGGTACCAAGTTGACTGTCGGTATATCGATGTGCTGAAGTGCTCGTACAGTTGGGCTATGATGGCTATCCGAGTACAGACCCAGAGTACAAAACCTATTAAATTGCAGAGAGGTGTAAGACAGGGTGACGTTATATCCCCGAAACTCTTTACCGCTGCATTGGAAGATGTTTTCAAGCTTCTGGACTGGAAAGGATACGGTATTAACATCAATGACAAGTACATCACTCACCTTCGATTTGCCGACGATATAGTCATTATGGCAGAATCGATGGAGGACCTAAGCACCATGCTCAATGACCTCAATAGTGTCTACCAACAGATATGTCTTAAGATGAACATGGCTAAAACATGGACAAATATTCCGAATAGGTAAGTCCAACTTTGACCGAGAGGTCAATCGACGGATTCAACTCGGCTGGGGAGCGTTCGGGAAACTACGACACATCTTCTCATTAGACATACCTCAAAACCTTAAAACGAAATTGTACAACCAGTGTGTGTTGCCAGTGATGACTTACGGATCTGAGACGTGGTCCTTCACTGCTGGCCGTATGAGGAAGCTCAAGGTCGCTCAGTGAGCTATGGAAAGGGCTATGCTCGGGGTTTCTCTGCGTGATAAACTTAGAAATGAGGATATCTGCAGTAGAACCAGAGTAACCAACATAGCCCAACGGATTAGTAAGCTGAAGTGGCAGTGGGCCGGCCATATAGCTCGAAGAACCGACTACCGATAGGGAAGAGTTTCTCGAGTGGCAGCCTCGTACCGGTAGGCGAAGTGTCGGGTGACCCCTCACGAGATGGAGTGACGACCTGGTAAGACATGCAGGAAGTCGATGGATGCAGGTGGCTCAGGACCGTGCTTTGTGGCATTCCTTGGGGGAGGCCTATGTTCAGCAGTGGACTTATGAAAGGCTGTAATGATGATGATGAATGATGGGTGCACTACATGTAGGTAAGGTTTGCACTTGGAGAAAAAATAAACATAATTTACCCATATGCCTCAGTTCTTGGTTGTTTTTGTCAATGTTAATCCCTAATTAGTGATATTGTTGTACATACCAGTATAGTACTGTAGCGTGGGTGTCCATGTTCCCAGTGACTTCATACGCAGCGCGATGTAAAGCGCCGCGGCAGCCATCTTGCTGTCCGAATGTCCTAACAGTCCATATTCTAGAAGGCATTGCTCTAGTACGAATCGCGCAAGAGTCAGCGTCGGCATGGACACCCGAGCACACTATAAATAATTCAAGATAATATTAATTTTGCTCGACTTGGCGGGGGCACTGCCGTGCCCCCAGACGAAACTATGTTCGAGTATACAGAATTTGTTTTATCTCCACTTTTCTATATACCGTTACCATATGTGTAATAAATACTTTCATTGCATTGCATTGACCTCAACATTTAACACTCGCCAATAAATAAAATTAATCAAAATATGTCTAAACATAATATATTCAGGATAGTCATTTATCTAAACCAAGTGAAAATGAGCATGTGCTTCTGTAGAATACAATTTTTTATTAACTCGTCTATTGAAATCAAATTTCGAACATTTTACTAGGGCAGATAGGAGAAGGACGACAGTCTCAAGTAACAGCCCTTTCTTCGGCGAGTGGAGTGTAGGGCAGCCCCTAACTAGTGACAACAGACAGAGCGACTACCTGGTAAGACATGTAGGAAGTTGATGAATGCTTATAGTCCAAGATCGTGTTTTGTGGCATTCCTTAGGGAAGGTCTACGTTCAACGGTGGACTTGTGAGAGGATGTAAAAATGATGATGATATTGGTGACGTAGCTGTTATCGTTAAGTTTTTTTTTTTATATAGGATAGGGTGACAAACGAGCACACAGTCCACCTGATGGTAAGTGGTTGCTGTGGCCCATAGACATCTACATCTATCCTCGTTTGCGAATCAAAGTTCACATTCGTTGTCACCCGTGGGGACTAAGATGGAATGCCTCTTTTCCAGTAAAAGGGTCTCCGGTTCTCTACACTCACCATACGAAACACAGCAGTGTTAAGCTGCTATTTTACGCTGGTATTCTGAGTATGGTCCTTCCCCGGTCGAGCCGACCCATTCGTATTACAACTATACTACTAATATAGCTGCAGCATGGCTCTACCATATTAACTTATTTGCTATCCAAAATATCATAATTCATACTTACCCTCGCATATCTCCTGAGAAAACGGTAAGATAACGGTATACCAAGATCAAAGTCTATAACACGCAAAATATTCATCTCCATTTTGAGCATTTGTCCCAATGTATATGCTCCATCACAGATGTAGAGAAAATCATCGATGAGTGGTGGGATGCGTTCCTGTAATTTAAATGTTTGACATAATTTTTTTAAACATTTCTAGATTTTGATAAATTTGCAAATACATGTAATAAAACTAACCAAAAATAATTTATGATATTATTTCGATATTTTAGGTCTGGCGTGAACGAGATAGTTATACTACTACCATCTTTAGGACCATCCTATGGAGGCCATTTGGCGTTCTAGTATTTCTTATAACTACACAACAACCTTGGGATAACATGGGTTGTTGGTTTTTGTGCTGCCACTATATCGCAATTGTTTAATATTAGTGTAAGTCAAATGGCAACAAATTACTTATTATAATTGCATTTTAAAATTTTATTATGTGATAAGAGCCGTGATAGTTCGGGGCTATATGCTCTACGTGTATTTCACAGAACCCAAGCAGGCCAGATTCGATCCCGACGGCACCAATGAAATTGTTTAGAGCAATATTAAGTAATGATTTGCCACATGCTCGGCGGCAAAGAAAAACATTGTTAGGTAACTTGCATGTCTGAGGAATGAAATACTTTGTGGACATGTGAAGTCAGTGTCAACAAGCAAAGGACAACAGAACCAACAATGTGTGAAAACACTCATTATTGGTACTGTTGTTATCTCTGTTCTCCTGCTCGGTTGTTATTCTATCATGTGTCAGACAATGCTACCTTGTATTCTTTTTCTTTTTCTACAGCCTGTAAAAGACTACTGTAGGAAGGATATGCCATGCTGTCACACTTGGCAGGTGAACGACCGCAGTGCCAGATGTCTGTTTAACGCTGCTGCCTATAGCTGATCTAGATATTCACTTTTATATAATAATACTGGAGCAAATCACACAGCCCACTTAATTTTATCAAGTGACTACTGGCATCACATGAAAACCAAAAATCAAATAGATCAAACAAAAAAGGGCTACATGTGTTGCCATACTGAAGACTAAGGTAGGCTAAGTTAAGTATAGTCTCTAATTATCACTTAACACACAATTATCTGTCCCATTTACGCTTTTAAAACCAGACTACAACAGTGTGTGCATAGCTAGGTAAGAGATATAACAGGATGGTATCAAAAACATCAACGACAGTTACCAACACAGTTTCTAGCTCAGTTTTATTTTAGGGTACCGCGCAAAAACATTCCACACGGGCGAAGTCGCGGGGAACAGCTAGTATCTTATAAAAAAGCGGAAGATTTTTTGTTTGTTTGTTTAAACACGCTAATCTCTGAGACTAGCAGGCCGATTTGAAAAATTATTTTTGTATACATATAATAGCCAGATTCATTAGGAATAGTATAGGCTAGCTTTAAATATAATTTCTGTTTAACAAGTCGGAAGAAAAAGCGCTGCCGAAATGCTTTATCCGCGTGCTAAATATTTACTCCATCTAAAAAAAGTCCGCGATACCATATGCCTGTTACTTATACATAATAAATAACAAATATGGTATTTTGTGACAAAAAAATTATTGAAAATTAAAAAGTGATTTATGAGCGTTATTATTAAGCATGTCATATTAATCCTTACGAACGAAAGTTACTTCATAATCTAGACAATTTTCTACCTGCTGCATTTTCTGCTGTGCGTATACCCCGCGAAAGGAAGTGTGCTGTCGATTCGATTTATTTTATACGCGTACCTACTGTATTGGAACTAAGTTGTGATAAGATGGTTCAGTGTAAAAAGTGTAAGCTATTCTTATCAATAGCAAAGGACGAAGTTATTAAATGCAAAGGTTATTGTGAAGGAATCTTTCATAAAAAGTGCTTAAATGTTAAACAGTTCCAACAGAGAAATAAGCTTTGCGATGGTTGTTTCAAAACTGATAACAGTTCGAGAATGTAACAGTCCCAAATAAACATACAATATATCAGTAAATCTACAGCAGAATCCGTATTAACAGAAGTTAACAATAAATTGGAAATAATCTATCCGATGAAAAATCAAATACAAGAATTAACTGAGGCTGTCGAATTTTATACGGAACAGTATCAAAACATGTTGCAATTCAAGGAAATCGCCAAAAAAAAGATAAAAGATTTAGAAAATAAAAACGTTTATCCGCAAAAAGTCAATGAAGCGCTAGAAGAAAGGGTCTCTTATATGGAACTAAAAGAACTAGAAAAAATGTAGAAATAATAGGATTAGAGAATAAAAAAGATGAAGATACAAATCAGATTGTGCGTTTGATTGCTAAAAAATTAAATTTAAATCCTGATCATATTGAAGAGGCGCGGCGAGTAGGTTGTGAAAAACATAATTTAAAATTAAAAATTTTGTACAGCGGACTTTAATATAAGTTATTAAGAATAACTCAAAAACTATTGGTCTGACCTTGATCAAATTTATATGGGACTACACAAACAGTACCAGCTTTCAAATAAAAATGAATCATCGTAATCGATTTACCCAGTAAAAAGTTATGAGGTAACACACATAAAAAAACATACAGTCGAATTGAGTACCGTCTCCTTTTTGGAAGTCGGCAGAAAATGAGAATCACCCGCGGACTTTTATCGTGACGTTCTGTGCGAAGCTAAACAGAAACGAATCGATTGCACGAAAAAAACATATATAAATATATATGGGTGCAGAACCTTCGAGTTTTAGTTAAAAAGGAGGATAACGCAAAAAATAAAAATAAACGATCAGATGCAGACATACAAAAGCTAAATAAGGCCTGTAGCGAGGAATAACAACAACACAAAAGACTATTACTGGGGACACAAATATAAATATAATTGAAAACAGCAGCATCGTGGAAAAGTATAGAAACATATTATGTGAACGAGGCCTGCAATGCATTATCAATGAATATAATATGTACAAGAGGTGTACGCCGGTGTTTTAACTGCGTCATATATCGATCATGTGCGGGTGCGCAGCCGTGCCGCGCTAACGCACACATGCTCCACGTGTAAGTTGTCGGATAACTATATGATAGGAGTTAATTTAGCGTTCGGTGCATACGAAACGAAGTGCGATAGTGATCATTGTATGAATGTCCGTTATTGCTTTACGATAGGTTACATATCTCGTTAAAAAATATTTATGAGGAGTCCATAATAGCTATAAAATTAAGCAGAAATAAACGAGCAACATAGCTGTGGATTAATCATACATTAAAAATGATGATAGACTGAAGATATTATTTGGTTATTATGAAATATTTAGGTAAGACAGATGCAGTAACTAATATATGCTCAAATTTCGCTAAATCATTTACGGAGGAAATTGGTAAAATAAAACATTACTGTGATTGTAAATTTATAGATCGTACCACTTATGTGGATCTGAGTAACGTATCTTTCCGTTACCAAGCAGTATCATCGCACGAAATTGAAAAAGTTATAGATAAATTAGGCCGTAATAAATCACCAGGTATAGATGAAATAAGTGTAAAATATTTAAAATATGTGCAGAAAGAGATCAGCCCGTTACTTGCAAAATTTGTGATATTTGTGTACAAAACGGTGTATATCCAAATAACTTAAAAATGCAATTATTTGTTCAATGTAAACAAGTCAATCACTTAGAATATTTTAATTATAGGCCGATTGCTATATTGTCAGTCATAAATAAAGTGGTTGAAAAAATAATTGTTAAGCAAATTAACATCTTTCTGGAAAAAAATATCATATGATATCTAAAGCACAGCATGGGTTTAGAAAAACGTACAGTACATATACCGCACTACCACGATTTGCCGATGATGTTAATTATGAACTAAACACTAAAAATTATGTCGTTGTATTGTTCATTGATTTTAAAAAAGCGTTTGATACGTTGGATCACGAAATGCTTCTTGAAGCAATATGCAAGAGTGTGGGGATTCGAGGTCCAATGAAAAAATGGTTCCGCAATTACTTGAAGAACCGAAAACTACGCACTATGATCAATGGTACGATTGGGGACGAAGCTGATGGAACACTGGGTGTGCCAACCGGCTTCGTATTTGGTACATCTTATCGGTTACATCATGCACGTGAATAGCATTAATAACGTTGTAAAACATTGTGCCACCTATATGTACGCCGATGACACGTGCCTAATGTACGCCGAAAAGGGGCGTTAAACTTATAGCGGAGAGGGTGCAGGATGATTTAATTAGTATACTAAAACGGGCACATGACAACATATTATACTTAACATATCCAAGACAAAGTGTATGCTTCTCCACTCAGTATATAAGAGAAAAACTAGTGAAGAAATTAACATCTTTGGTCATTCGGACTAGTGCTTACATAATAAATTGGAACAATGCAAATGTACAACCATAGAATTTATGAATAGTTACAAATACTTAGGGCTAACAATAGACTGCAATTTTAGTTGGAAATTGCATATTAGCATTGTCTGTGAATCTGCGATATTATGCACTCGATTCAGCTCTGAGTTACGGACTAATTGCATATGGACATGCTTTTCAAACATAAACAGATAAAATTTTTAAGCTACAAGTTAGGTTAATAAAATTGTTTATTGATAAAAAAAAACAAAGGCAAAATATAACATAGACGGACGCTATAATAATTTATTTAAAAATTTTTAGAATATTACCTATACATGTAAAACTTTTGCAATAGATCAATTTAAATCTCTAGAGTTTAACGGACATTTAGCAAAAATATTAGAATTACTTCTCGAAAGAAATATGTTGAGCATTTGAGGGTTAACAATTATTACGACAAGAGGAAGAGAAAATATCTAGTACCACGTATTTTTAACAAGATATTTTCTAAAGACGAATGTAAAAATTAAGAAATATTTAAAAGGAAGTTGAAAGTATGGTTGCTAGATACGTGTAAAGTTAATATTGTCTAAATAAAAAAAATCGTCTTAATAGTTAAATGTGTAATCTATACATCTATACAAATAAATAAAATTGGATTGTCCGTTTATAACGTCAAAATAACAGCTTTTCACTAAATGCATATGAAAGTATATATGGTACTTATAACAAAAACACAATTTTTAAAATTTTTGTCTGTCTGTCTGTCTGTCTGTTTGT